CGATTTTCACTGGAGAAAACTGGAATCGAGTATGTGTACGCACATGCATCTCAGTTTTCGCTAGGGAAAACTCGGATTCTAGTTTTGCCTAGCAAAATCTAGAATTTCACCGAATACCAGTTTTCGCCACAACATACATATATCTTAAAAACTGTCGTATGCTTTTAATGTCAAATTAATACGATGGTTTTTGCAGATAAAAGTTTTGTAAGTTGAATAAATTTTAGAGAAAGCTTTTGCCTTAACAACACATTTAAGATCTTATACTGTTTCTTGTTGCGAAAAGTTAGTGAGAAATCCCAGATAATAACATTTTTTACTCTTTTCTTGTCTTGACTAGAAAATCAGCAAACATCTTTTATTCATCTTTAATATAAAAAATTTACATACAAAACATGACAATAATGTAGATATTTTTTATACGAAAAAATGGTAAATAAGATAAAAAAAATTGCACTTTTGTAGAAGAAAGGATAGTTGATTTTCTGATTTTATACAGCTACGACCTACCTATACACATCATTTGTATAATATCATTAACATTGATTATGCATACCTAGGTTTACATCTTGCTTTGTCATCATAGATAATGTGATATTTCTATTCCTCTATCTATAGACTAAGCATTGAGTGTAGGACAACCAGCAGAAAAATGAAACTTTATTGATTGTTGACAGATCAAGTTAGAACAACTGTACTTCAATCAAACAAAAATTCTTATTTTAATGGGGTCTTTGATTTATCGTCAATTGTTTGAATTTCTTTTAATGCTTGTAAAACAAGTTTAATATTTGCTTTGATATGTGCAATTTTTTTACTCAAATCTTCTTCTTGTTCACGGAGATATTTTACTTTTGTTTCAATGAATTGTAATGCTTCATCGTATGATAATTCACAATATAAACCGAATCCAATTGATAAAAATAGATAATTATTTAATGTACATTCAGCTTGAGCAAAAAATGAACAACCAAGATCAATTTGTGTCAATAATGTATCATCACCAGGTTCATTCAAATCGCTATCTAATTTTTTATTTTTATTTAATAATTCAATAAATGTGTTAATTGTTGTTTTTAAACGTTCATATTCGGCTATATCGGTAAATAGACGATCTCGAGCATTCCATGCATGTTGTAAATCCGTACGCAATCGATCATTTAAAAATGTTTCATATTCGCGAATTTTTTTTCGAATAATAGGATCATTCATGGAAATTAGAAACTTAACTGAAGAATATCTAGAATAGAAAATGTTCATAGAAACTATAGAATATATTTTGTTAGTAAAAATTATTCATTGGTACTATGTAAATTGAAACAAAGACAAAAATTTTGATCAAATAAGTATACGGCTAAAGGATGCCAAACAACACGATAAGAGAAGGAAAATTCGGGTTACACTACTTATTCGAGGGACGAAAATCACTTTTTCTCTACGATCAAACAGAGAATTTTCCTGATATTTATAGACTAATATTCGCGCACATGAAAAGATGATCATAAAAATACGATTTTAAAATAGAATAACGTACATTTACGAAATATGGTATAATAAGACAAAAACTGAACATCTTTTGTTCAATAATGTATTACACATGATAAATCAAACATAGATCTTTTCTTTTCGCAATGTATATATCTTGCTAAAGAAAACCAAAATAGAGTTTGTTTTAAATAGCTTTTGTACACGTTTGAAAAGTACCTTAGTCATGAAAGAAAAAAAGTGCATAGAAATAATTCCTAAACAAAAATGTACGATAAATCATTTCGATGACTTTTAACATAAAAGCCACATGAGTGAGTAAACTAACATGAATAAAAACATGATGATGATTTTATTAAAGACTTGTCTGTTGTTCCAGTAGCAATGTTGTTCCACCAGCAGGGACTTTAATTGATTTCATATTTGCCCATGGATCTTCGAGCATACTAGGACGAAATAGATTATACGATGATCGATTATTATTTTTCTGATAGGGAGATGAAAATGACGATGATTGTGGTGAACTAAATGATCTATAATTGTTAGTATTGTCACAATTATTGTCATTATGATGATAGGGCGTATTTGGACGGTAATATTGATTTTGATTTTTTTTGTATGGAAATCGATATGGTGATGGTGATTGAAAGTCTGAAAATAAAAAACGAAAAAACATAATTACCTTTTACTCAAGCAAGAAAATAGCGTGAATAAACCTGTTGGTGTTCGTGGATTAAAGTTATTTGGATGACGCATTCGTGCACCTGACGTTGGATATGGACCTAAGATACAACATAGCGGTAAAATAATCAAGAAAAATAAAGTAAAAGAATGCCGAGTATTACCACTATAGGGTGAATGTAAACGAAATCGTTGTTGTTGAACCATTGGTGCTGCATAAGGGTTGGGATATTCTTCTTGAGGATAGGGATTATTCATTGGTGGTCTGTTATTTGAAGATGAATCTGATGAATAATAACGATTAGAAGCCATTCTAAATCTAAAAATAAGAAAAAGCGAAGAACTAGAATACTGGAAATTCAATTTTATATTAAATGATTTTATTGGAAAAAGAAAAAGGACTGATACTCTAAACATACTTTCCCAACTGCTATAGCTTACTACCCATCTGCTTTTTTTCTGATTCACACATTCCATGCTTACAGAAAGAATCGCACTGCTCAACTTAAAGCTCATTAAAAAAATTCTTTTTGACAAAAACTGCTCGTTAGAAGATCTATGATTTCAACTTTTAAACAAAAAGTTTAAGTTCAGTTTATTCACGAAAAGTGAAAGTCATCAAAGGTACACGGCCTATAATAACAATGACTTAAGCCAAACAGTAAAAGTTGAAATTATAAATAATAAACAAACTAAGAAAACTAGAGACATAACGAACCGATATAGAGAAAGTAGAAGGGAACAAATAAAAAGAAAAAAATAACACCGATACAGTTGACTAAGAACATGACAGTCTTGTTTACGCAGATTTTTGACAAGAGAATGCGTCTTAAAACTTTTTCTGTTAAAAATTATAATCAATAGAAAGACAAAAACAAACGTTGTACAGAACAATTGATATGTATCGAAGTACTTTTAATAATTAGTGGAATGAGCGAAGGCAACGTGAACGTTCTAAACTGAAAATCTGATTGTCACTATTTTTCACACCGAGAAAAGAAATTCTATTTTGCTAGCTGGGAACAAACCTTAAACCTAAATTGTACGTCATTAATTCTAGAACTTTGAAAACAGTTTATGGAATTTTCTCACAAAAAGCAAATTTTTTCTTCTTCACTTCATTGAAATCTTTCAGATCTAAATATATTAATATCATTTTTAGCAATAATTTATCGAAGATACGCTTAAATTTCTAAAAGAACGTAGAACATCGAAATGTTACCAGATAAGAATTTGTTTAGGCTTTATTTTATTTGGTTTATTTCATTTGCTTGTTCAATTTTTGCTACTCATTCTTTTTTACGTTTTTTCTTATACAACGTCTATTGGCTTATGTTCACCAATCCGTTGCATGACTCATCAGCTATCTGATTGGTAGACCGGTAGAGGGCATAACCAAAGGAAGAATTTTCTGTAGTGAAATAATTCGGTGTCGACCGACATGAGCGTAATCAGAATTAGACATTAATTTCTGTATAAGAAGTACGATGACAAGGTAAAATTTCATCATTCAAATGTTTTTCTGATCGTTGAAAGGGAAATGAACACTCAATTCTCGACAAAAACCCTTTAATGTTTTTTGTCCGATCGTTTAAAACTGAATTATCGCGAGTTTAATGCAAGAATTAGACGATTATTGAAATGTGAAAGTTACCGAGGAACAATGCTCAGAATCAAGGTGTGTGAAAGGATGATATATTGAAGTATACAAATGAAAAGACATCAAGAAAAAATTACAAATAAAAAAAGTAAACAAAAAAGGATCAATGCACGATGAAAGTATTATAACAATGTTATTTAGTTCAAATTCTTTTTTCAATGAATTCTTACATTTCAAGATTAAATCAGTAGTTCACAATATTTTTTTCATATTTATGCTCATTAAATATATCTTAGAGCACCTCGATATTTTTTCATAGAATTTAAAGACCTAATTGTTTGCAGTTCAAACAAAAATACCTGATCATGTATTTCATAGACCGTTGGTCTCTAAAAGTTTTTTCAGATATCATTAGCGACACTAAAAATTATATATATCGTCTTTTTTATACTATTTCGATTTACATAGTTAAACATCTCTATTGCTCGTCGCCCTGATATAATGTATTACTGGTCTCCGCTTATGAAGTTAATCAAGTGATATTTGTATGACTTTTATGTATTTTTATCTGCTTAGAGCATCAAAATTTTTGTGTTCATGTCTATGGTATCATATCGATTCTCGGAATATTGTTAGTAAAATTGAATACCTGTTTAAGATCTAAATGAATGATGTAACAAAAACATCATGTAACAGTGTAAGTATAACTTCATTTTATGTAATAAATAAGCTATAATTATTTGAAAACGTTAAAATCCTGCATCTGAAAAATATTTGTCTATCCTCTTGGCAAACAACTAGGAGAGACAATACTTGCGCAATCGAAAAGTTTTCTTCGGTATAATAAATAAACTTTTTAAATTAAAAACGGTTCAGACATATGTATCAAGATCCATCCAGCTACTCGTTAACAAGGAAATTTTGGGGTTTGAACATAAAGTCTAAGAGAAAAAAATAAAGTTTTCTACGTTAACAAATTTTCTGTAAATAAATTCTTCCAGTATAATGGAAAACGACTTCGTTTTCAATTATAAGCGTTACCATCAAAACAAGATACCTTGTTGTAAGATAGCAGTCTCACTTTTAAAGTAGCATGTATCTTACATTTTTCTTTTCAATAAACGATAGGTGAGAATATATCTGCTTACTAATGCAAAGTTGTGCTAACATTCTTGATCACTTTGTACCTTTTCGTTTTCCTAATGGTTGAATACGTGTTGTACCACTAACATGATGTAAGTCAGATAAAGCTAATTGTTGCCATTACAAAAAATTATTGAACGTTGGCTACTGACGATAAATATCTAACCGGGCCGATAGTGAACTAATTCTATATTTGTATAAATACGCTTCTGGATTAGGTTTATTTGACTTACATCAAATTAGTGGTGCAACACGTATTCAAACATTAGGAAAGTGAAAAGGTACAAGGTGTTCAATAATGTTGGCACAACTTTGCATTAGTAAGTAGATGTATTCTCACCTATCGTTTATTAAAAACAAAAATGTGAGATGCAATGTTACTTTTAAAAATGAGACTGCTAGCTTACAACAAAGTGCCTTGTTCTGGTCATCAAAAAGAGATATGTAAAATACGCGTTAGAACAGATTTTTTTATTTTGAAAATAGCTTATTTATTTGTATACAATATTTTTTACATTCAACAACTAAAAAATTTTTTTTTTAGAATAACACAAGTTCTCATTCTATCAAAGATTCTACGAAAAAAAAATTCGTTCCTAAGAAGGAAGAAAGGATCTCTTTCTACAATCTAATGAGTTTAAAGTCAATATTGCTAATTAATTAGGACTCAAAAGTGGACCGTTTTCGAAAAACTCTGTTTCATTATTCATTTGTTGTTGTTGTGGTTTTTTATCAGTTGTTGTTTCATTCGTATTTGTTTCATTTGAATTCATTGTAACAATGGCATGTAAAATTTGTTTACTCGTTTTTGGTTTTGTTGATGAACCAACTGTATGATATTGACGTAATTTTTGATTGTGATCAGTATTGTCAATTGTTTGTTCAGAGTTTGGTGGCTCATATATTTCATCATTCGTGGTATTATTTATCATTTTACCAGCGTCATTTTTTTTCGTGATAATTGTTATGGTTTGCTGATGTTGATGTTTAGACGATGATGACACATTTTTGGTTTTGGCTTTTTTTAAACCACCTGTTTCTTTACTCCAATACCAACGGCGATTATTTTTTGTTTCATTTATATTTGAGTCATCATTATTCGGAGAAATGATGTTTGTTTCGTTAGCAACAATCGAACTCCGGCGTGGCTGATTGTTTTCGTTATTCAAGACATTTTCATGGTCTTTCATTGAACGTTCACTAATATTACGACGAACAGGATAATGTTTTTGTTCTTCTATTGATGATTGATGTCGAGTAATTTTTGTAGAGGTTATTGATTGAGAATTTCGACGTGAACAAACAAGATTTCTATCTTCATTTTGTTTCGCTGTTGTTACTGCTGAATCCTCAATAAATACATCATCGATAATAGATATACTTCGTTCATCCTGAGATTGTTCTTCATTTAAATCAAATGTTAATTTGTCAGCTTGCTGAGAATTTCTAAAAGTCAAAAAATTATCGAATTGAAATTGATAAAACGTTCTAATGATCGACGTTCTATACTCCCTAACTAAGTTTTGATGCTTGCTGAAAAAGATAAATATGGTAATATCGCCCGATACTTGAATTAACTGCATAATGGATACTTTTGACATATCATGTTGAGCAGCGTTTTTTGAACCTTGACTACGCACAAAGGTACATATTTTTCGAAATTGTTTATGGTTACTGTTTTCGTTAAACACGAAATTAAAATTCATGCTCTATTAAAAAGAAGGCTCAGAAATAATATGGATTTTTATGCATAAACTATGAATATAGTGTACGTACATCGGAGAGTATATGTGTAAAAGTTGAATTAAATCTAAGATGCGAAAATTCATTACTCCGATCCTTCGATTGACGAAAATTTTATTGGTTTAGAGAACAAATGGTTTGATTTTCTCCTAATCTCTAAATTTACACTGGAAATTTTTTCGTTAAAATGTGCCTGAATGAGTCTAGTTTTTATGCTTGAAATCATTTTTAAGTAAAAAATACATTTAACATATCAAAAAGAATTCTAAATATAGTACTAGTTTACGTAGTACAACTTACTTATGTATTTTCTTGTTGATCCAATAAAGATAGAAAAAATATTTTTATTGGAAAAGATAGCAGAGATATCAAAACTTTATTGTCCACTAATGAAAACTGATAAATACTTACTCTTCATTTTTAGCTAAAAATCCACTTTATTGTCCAATGTCAGTTAACAAGGTACTCTAGCCTACCAGACATACTTTCCAACACTTCTTACCGTTTTTCAATCATTCCTGATGTTTGACTTAGTATGCCACCATCTGTACTTGACAATTTTTGAGAAGGTTTATCAAGTCGTTTATGAACACGTTCAGCAGTCATCTGTTTATGATGTTCATCGTCATTTCCATTAATGTCTACCGGTGATTTTGTTATTGTTCGACGTTTTAATTTTTTATTCACCACTGCTATTTGTTGTTGTTCACCATCAGAATTTTTTGTTAATTCTTGATCGATGTCTTCGATAGCTAATTCATCAACAGGCAGAATTTCTTTCTGTTTTTCATCTTCATTGAGGGTAGTATTGATATTCGTAGATGGAACACCATAAACACGATTATTATCTAACGCCGACTTTTTTTGTGTCGTTGATTCTTTTCGAACAACAACGCTGCTGTTGGCATCATTCGTAGTATCTTTCTTACCATTCAATATTTTCTTTTTTGTTGACATTATATCTTGTTTTTTCTTTAAATCGATTTGTTTCTGTGATATTTCAGCATCAGGTGTTTTCATTTGTCTTGCACCACTGCTATCATGAACCGTTTCACTAACGTTCTCCTTTCGTCGTAACCATCGGCGACGTGAGGTCGATTTTCCACCGTTCTGTTGTTTTGATAAATCGGTATTTGAGATAGCTCTCAATGATTTTTTTCCCATTTCTGGTTGAATATGTCGTGATCTTGATCCTGCATCACGACGTTGTTGTGTATGATGGCCTCCATTTTTGAACCAATGCTTCTCGTTATAACGATGAGTCGGAGAAACAACTCTAGTTGGACTTAACGTTCGTGATGGCGAAACTGGCATACCTGTTGCTAACGAACTGATTGCGGTCATGGAACAATCTTCATCCTGAATGGTCTTTTGTGATGGTGTTCGACGTTTTAAAATAATATCTCCATCAGCAGGTTGTAAAACAGATGCTTTCATCTTTCCATTTGGCGTTGCTACTATGTGTCGTCGATCGTCGTGATAGTGTTGATGCTCGCTAAATCCTTTTCTGCCTTTATGACCACCTGTTCTACTCGCAATATATCGTCCTTTACCACTTAAACCTGTTCGAATTTGATGCGATTGTTCATTGATAGGAGATGATGTATACTGATCCAACGTTGCAGGTGTTGATTTCCATCGTTCGCCTCTTTTGGGACTTGGTGCACGATTTATTGTGGATGATACAGACAAAATTCTTGAATGATGACTTGCTTCAGCCGCAGCAGCTGCTGCCTGTTCAAATGCTTTGATTTTTTCGAGTACATGGCCACCTTTAACGGCTTTTTGTAATGTGGAATGTACTCGATCAGCTCCTGTATATGATGTACGTACGGTTTTTCTAGAATAAGTACAATATGAAATTACTTAATGTCGAAAGGCACACTTTGGAATTTCTGCTTACCTACTGCCACAAAGAAACTTAAGTATTCTTTACCTGAGCTTTGTCTCTATCGTTCCCGCATCCGAGCTATGTGTTCGAATATCATCGTTTCCATTAAATCCATTTGAATTTGGCTGTTTTAATGATCGATGGCTCACAGCTATCGAATTAAGACTTTCTGTAAAATCATTATTTTCATTCATTTTTTTTGTATCTGGCTTAATTGCATCACCATTGTCTATTGAAGCCGATTTGTTGGATATTTCCACCAACTCTGGTCTCAGTTTTGGATGTGGTATCGAAAACATGAGACGAACACCTTTGAAAAAAAAGTATCATCATTTTCATGTCAAAAGATTCAAAAATTTGGATTAAATGCCTGTATAACGACCACTCGATGGATCACGCGAATGTTTTTGATAAAATGGATTTGTTTGTAGAAAATGACGCATATATTTCAAATCCGGCTTTCCCTCGGATAGTCCCGATATCATATGTTCATTCAATTGCATACGCCATATGGCCCAGTCATGAATATTAAGCTGATTATTCGTACTACCACTATTTACTACATCGCCAGCACGTGTTTGAGAACGCTTTGCTGGAGAATGTTTTCGATTTCCACCAAAAATTAAACGCCCTAAACAATAGTGGAAAGAAAAACTGGGTTAACAAAAGTGAAACAACCAAATAGAACAGAATGTACAAGAGAAAGAAGACAAATTAACAGACAGAACCTGCTTTTCTAAAAATTTGGACGCATGTTAAAATCCTACTATTATCAAACACCGTGTATGAGCATATCAATAATCTTAACTTCTAACAGAATGTTTTTGATAGATAGTCTCATACTAAACTTGTAAAAATATTCTTTGCACTGTTTGCTACAAATCTTAAAATATTTATAAATAAATACGTCATTCAAATAAACACTTTTTTATGAAATTAAGGGTATTTTTCAAAGATTTTATTAAAACAAATAGCATAGTCGTAACATTTAGACACTTAGGACACTTTCCTAACGTTAACACACTTAAATTTTTTTTCTTAGTCAACTTAATATCGTTATGTTATTTTGAATGAGTTAAGGACATCTTTACATTTAAATGTCGAAGAAGATGGAACTAAATGAGTTCATCTTGCAGATTTTTACGAACTAAAAAATGCATTATTCAAGTTTTTTGTGCAACAAATCACTTCGAACATATTTTTTATCAATATTTTTGATTCAGAAAGCACTTGATATAAATAAACAAATCATATCTCCTCTGTTTAATGATGGATCTGTTTGTAACAAAGATCTTACACAAGTACTCATTTTCAAACTTCTTTCATTTTCTCAGTAACCATACAATTTTAAGACGTAAAAAATTCAAAATTAAACGCATCTTGTCAAATTTTGTAACCACCTAAGTTTTCATATAGATCGAAATTATTTTTCGAAAACCGATAATATTCTTAGGAGATATCTCATTTTTTTGTGAAATAAACTATCATACTTACCTAGTTTTTTTTGTCTGCTACCACCTTTTGTCATGCTGAAAGAATAGTTCAAGTGAACATGTTGATCAATTTCTTTTTTTTAATTAAGCGAGATAAATTTGAATAGTGATGATATTTACTTCCATACGTGTTCACTTAGAACAATATTATATCTTTCAGAAACAACTTATTTCTTCGTTTTTACTTTTTTTTTTTTGATGATTGAAAAATATCAGTTGTACTAACTAATGGAGAAAGAGGAAATAGAAATTCGATCGTTCGAATACTTGTCTTGTGGGTGTCACAGGTATGTTTTATCTATTACTTAATATTACGATGATTATTATTTATTCTTTAATTAGTTCGTAACCAAAGATCAAGCATTTAGCGTTGAAGGCGGAAGCTAATCATTTGTTTACGAAACGTTTTGTTAATGTTTGTTTATAATAAACATAAAGAAAAAAAAAGATATTCTCTCTAAGTTTTCTTTTTTCTTCTTTTTTTTTTTCTTCTTCTCTTTGTAACGGGTGTACATCTGTTCAATCGAAGAAAATCTAAGTATCTATATTATAATAGTCAAGTTGTAAAATGACACGTTATGATCCCACACATAAACATTTTATTGTAGGATGGCAATCATTTTTCGTATCGACAAACAGATAATGCATTATAGAAAGGCATTGACACAGGTGCTATACAAATCATTTAAATTTTTTTCATGTATAATCAATTCTCATTGTACAATTCAAGAGTTTTATTCTACAGAAAACAATCCAAGATCAAGAAATAAGAATTTTTTATTTGCATGAAGAATGACAACTGTATCAATATATAATCGGATGAAATAGAATTCTACGATAGTGGATCAAATTTAGAGGACCTGTTAACGGTTCCCTCGACTATCTATTTATTCAATATAAAACCTTTACGGTATGAGAGTAATATTCGCATTGTAAACCTAAGTCACAAATCGAGACATAACATAACGCTATTATTCGAGAAAAATTCCATTTCATTTGCTATCTTCTTTCTCTTCTTCAATGGATTCTATTGCATCAGATTGACTGTTTATCACATCATTTTGTTTTAATATTGATATATTTTTCACCGACTTATTTTGTTTATTCAATAGAAGTAGAGAATTTTCACATGTTGCCACTTTTTTCAAATCAATTAGCGCATATTGATCAACATTAACTAACCAGTCTAATCCCAATGGAGATTTTAACCAATGATATGGCCATGTTTTTCGAATAGATGGTCGTGTCATTAAAGTTTCATAATAATTTCCTTGAAAAAGATCATCAAATCAACTTTGATTCGCTTGATGAATGTAAATGATTGTTGAACAAAATACGTACGTAGAAACGGAAAATGATCCAATTTCAATCCAAATCGAACAGATAATGCTAATTCTGGGAAAAACATAACATCGGCTAAGGTAAACGTGGAATATGCTATTCCAGTAACAGGTTCACCCATCTTTAAAAAATAGTATAGAGAAGCAGCAGAAAAAACAGTAACAAATATCGTACATCTTTGATATAGTCATTCCATCTTGTTAATTCTTTAAATAATGATTTTTCTCGCTGTTCTCGTATTTCATTATCAATCTGATGTTTTTCTAATGACAACAGATATCCCACGAGATTTTGAGTAGAAACACGTTGATAATTTAAACTCTAAACGATGTTTTTATCAATAGTTTACTATATTTCTAGAGAAAATGTACACTCTACTTCAAATGCGCGTTCTAAAACTAGAGCTTTCTCCTTTAATGGTGATTCTGGCAATAATGTTGGCATTAAATTCTGGAGAAAAAATAAAACGGTTCAATTATTTGAAATTCATGACTTTTTTCCTTTACTTCCAAAAATAAAATGGTTGGTAATGCACCATTAAGAGTAATATCTTGAATACTTAACAATGGCATCTAAAAACATATCAAATGTTTTATGTCATTAATAGAAAAGATGAAATACGAAATAAGTAAGAGAGAAAAATAAGAGTTGAGTAAGGGCAGACTCAGCTCTTTCTAGCAAAGGAATATGACTAAGTATAACTTAAAATAATAACCCCTTTTTTTAACTCCAATGTAAAAACAAAGTTTAGATAATTCAAAGAATACTGACTCACTTACACGGCCCAGGGGATTTCCTTTCCAAAATTGATCATTTTTATTAATTTGTTGTGGCTTTACCACTAATATACTTTTATAGCCCGATAATTGCTTTTCTTCTAATACAATTCGAATTTTCCATGATGACAAAGTACCGGACATCCAATACAATGTAATATTTTCCGGAATAAGCTACGATAAACAGACATTAGTGATAAATACTACTAACTTCGCCTATAAAACTCACCCGAATTGGAACATTTTGAGATTCTGTTATTTTGCTTAGTTTAGTATCATCGTTATCCGATGGTGTTCCTTCTGTTCTATCATCTTTATAAGCATCAAACAATCTATCTTTAGAATGAGAATACATTTATTAAGTATTCGTTTATTCTGTAATTCTAAGCGAAGCGAGTTTTGCTGAAATTTGAGCAGACAATGTCTTTAGTAATGAAACAATATAACATTAGAATCCTCTCAGATATAATCATGCAATACTTTGACTGGTGAGACATTCAAAAAAGGAACGATCGTTCGAATCATTACCGCTTTGGGATGTGTTATCCATTCTAGAAATTAATCATATAGCATTAGCTTCATGAATCCACTTTGAATACAAAAAAACAAAATAGAGTAAAGAATACTGATATTATACGATAAGTATTCTAATAAAGAAATTAAATTTAACTGGACATTGAACTACATCTAAATTTGACATTCCATTCGTTTTTGTCTTGAGCTGTTTGAAGATTAATGATGGAACCGAAAAAGCAAGCATAAAATTTTATTTTTTGTTCTCTATCACACTAGAATATCATTCTACCAAACGTAAAACGTTATTGAAGCTACAATTCTCGTTGGGGAGATCAGTTAGTTACCTTGACAACGTTTGATAATCATAATTTTTTTTATCAGTTAGTCTTCAACGCTCTCAAAACCATGAGCAGCAACTTCTAACAGATAATACATGCATTAATGGTAAACTCGCTAATGAAAAAATGTTTATCACATCTAAAAAGTGTGCCTAGTTATAAGCGTAGACTCAGCTTAGTCGAACGGGTTATAGCTTAGTTTAGTCCAAGCTTCATTTATTTCCAATGATTCTCCTAATTGCGAAATCAAATAAAGAAAAAAGTTTGTTTAAAACTTTTTTCTCTCCTAAGATTGAATACACTAGCTTACATACTAGCAACTTGCTAGTAGCAAGTACATTACCCCCTTCGGAAAATCTCGAATATATTTGTGTTTGGTTTGTGGGCGTGTGATAGAAATGTCAAATGAAAAAAATAACGTAAAATGCATTGATTTCCCGATAGGAACTTGATCGAAAACTTTCGGAGCTTTCAAAGCAGAAGGATAGAGTAGATAATCTAAACAAGAATCCTTTGTTGTAGTAACAATCGTATGAGTACAAGCTAGCGAAAAAAACCGCTCCAAGATCGTGAGGAGGAGTCCTCATCTACATTCCAGATCTTTTTCAGTGCTCCTTGATTGCGACTGACGCTAACACAGAATCGATACTAGTGAAGGTTATAGTAAACGACCGTATCTTTATGATTTGTAATTCTTATCGACCTAAAGAATCTAGAGATGGATATTTCACTCAGCTAGAGTCCTTTCTCCATTCCTCTCTACCTTCTCTCTATGATATTCTTTTATCGCAGGCGATTTCGATGCTGGTCCTTCTGACATGCCAATGTACCAAGCTCTATGTGATCTTGGAGCGGTTTTCTCGCTAGCTTGTACTCATACGATCGTTATTTCAACAAAGGATTCTTGTTTAGATTATCTACTCTATCCTTCTGTTTTGAAAGCTCCGAAAATTTTCGATTAGGTTCCTATCGGGAAATCAATGCATTTTACGTTATTTTTTTCATTTGACATTTCTATCACACGCCCACAAACCAAACACAAATATATTCGAGATTTTGCTTCATGTGATTTAGCACTACTCTACTCGATGTTAGAAGCTATTTCTCCATCTTTTTACAATGCTACCGATCCTTCTGATAGTGTAAGAATTT